ATTCTGCACAGTGAAGCAGAAGTATTAGATTGGTTATCTACACAATGCAGATACGTCCAGCATTTCACAGTTACTGGCCAGAATTGCTAATACTGTAGTTAAGCTACTATTGAGCTAATATCCTTAAATGCAGTAATTTAAACCAATACCAATTAACACCAGAGAGGATTTAATGCTGCAGTCTTCCCCAGATTTTTTGATTTACACAGTATCATAATGCTGCTCCTTCCTCCTCATTGGTCACAGTACTTGTGTGTTTTGAAGGATGCCACGATGCACATGCTCCCTCCTCTCCCATCAGCACAGAACACCATTCTCTTCTTTCTCTACAACTGCTCTTTGCCAAAGAGTACATTTTCATCCCCGTGCTTTTGTTACCCTAACTCCCCTAAGCTGAACTATGACCTCACAGCCAAAAGACCTGCTGCTTAGGCTGCACTTTCTTTTCTCATGTCCGATAGGAGAGAACTCAACCATGTATTAAAATAGGAGCTTGCTAAGACCTGCTTCATGGCTCGCTCAGTTTCCCACTGCTGCTCTAAGGGCTTTATGAAGCAACACCTCCCATCCCAAAGGGAAGGAGCCTCCCTCCCCCATGGCCCCCTGCCCAGCACAGAACCAGAGGAAACACTTTTCTGAATTAGCTACCAATTCACTTCTGAGCTCAGATTTTGCAGCGAGGACAGGAAGTGTTTCATTGCACTAACTCAGGTCTTCTGAAGACTTTTTTATATAAAACACTGAAATTAATGTCCTCAATAAAATGAATCTTTATTTTTTCCTCCAAAAGAAACAAGGGGAATAGAGGGGAAAAAAAAGAATTAGATTATGCAGGTTTGTTCTCTTTTTGTATGAGGCCAATCCACAGAGGGTAAAAGTTTAATTTTCTCAGTGTAAATAACACGTTTGCTTAGTGTTCTCGCATATATTTTCAAAATAAATCAGTAGAGCAATACTGCTGTTTACATCTGGAGTCTCAAACCTCCCCCCACCAACCTGAGTCAATAACAGATCACAAACTCTCTCAGACTACATACAGAACACGGGGAAGGGAATATTTTGGCTCAGTGAGTACCTTTAGGCCAAGAAATTCTTAAAGCATTATAGACTATAAATCATTTTATGAAAAAGTAAGTAGAGGTGTCAGTCCTGGAGACAGAAGCAAGCAAGGAATATGATGTCATCAGTCATATTTTTAACAATATTCAATTAGACTTAACACTGTATTTCCAAATAAGATTGTTTCCTTGAAATTATAGTGATATTTCTTTTAACCATAAAATGTACAGTGAAATGGTTAAGTAGAACACGCCTTTAAAAAAAAACCACCAAGAACAAACTACTCACCACTGGTACTTAGAAATAATGCAAATTATTATTGCACAATTGTAGGGATTGTCCTAAATAGCACGATTTTCAATCAAGTAAAAAAATTACTTACATAATTTAGATTGCTTCTGAATTTTATTCAGATTTTATTCTTGGTTTCATATAGACAGAACAAACGTGGAAATCTTTCAACTTCACAGTGTATGTAAGTTATCTGGTTATCCTGCAGCTGAAATCTTACAAAGGCCGCTGACCTCACCCATCTTGCACAAGCAAAGCCTTCACCTACAGTTTAAATACCTGTGTTTTACAAACAGCACTGTTAACTGTACCTCTGAAGGAAGATACATTTACTCAACAGCTGATGAAAATATTTTCCTGTATTTAAATAAGATGTAATTACAACTCTGCTAAAATGAACCGCTCTGTGTGCAATGAAGTTAAAAGCAGTCCCAAATCAGTGCCGTTAATCCTCTCTGTAACAGAACACATCAGTTTCCAGATGTTTCACAGGAGGTCATTCCTAACTATGTGCACAGTCACACACATACACACATACATACATGAAACAAAGCAAGGCTTGTACAGACTTAAAAGATTCACTATGAATTTCTTGCTCACATTTGCCAGCAAAACCATGATTTGCCAGTTTTAGACACCTCACACGTTTACAAGGCAGACTGACATTTTTGGACCACCTTCTCCCAAAGCAGTCTTAGACCACAACTCCTCCACAGCAGCCTATGAATCGCTTCTTTCATTGCCAGTTTGTTTTTTTTCTGGGTCTAGATAACTGCCTTCAAATAAAATTCTGTTTTTCATTCCTTCTTTAAGCATTCTTTGCCGGATTCTTTGTTGAGCCAAATTGTACCTGCAGTAAAACCTAGAGGAGGGGATGAAAAGAAAACATGATTCCCTGCCTTATATGAGTTACAGTAGAAAATCAGACTTGCTCAGCCAGTTGAAAAGTTGCAGCCACATATGAAAATGCTAGTAAAATTCAGCATGCTGCCTTTGGAATTAGGACAGAAGGATGGGGTATGCAAAGATAAAAAAGAAAGAATTAAGAAAAACGGAAATAACTGGGTGGCTTGATCTCTTAGGAGTCAAGAAACAATAGCGAGTTTTTTTAAAATATATGAACATAAAAATTCAATCACATTGAACCGTTTCCCTTTAAACAAGAGGAATATCTTGAGGAGAAGGAAGAGGATGCCTTGCTAGGCAAGTTTTTTAACGGAGTTTCAAAAGCAATGTGAAATACTGTTTCTGAAATCAAACATGGGGATCATGTAGTACAGTTCAACCAACACAGGCCTGTCAAAACTGAAGAAGCATTTTACATACCAGTATCCTAACATTGTGGAAATAAAGCCACCAACTGCAAAGTCACAAGATCTTCTAACTCTACCTGAAAAAAAAACCAAACAAAAATTCTCCATAACATTAGAGGACTTCCCATTATTAGTAACACCTAACAGCAAATAGCAATCTTTTTTCTTGAGAATAAGTATATAATCAGAAGAGATAAGTACTTACTAGTTGCTAAAAAATGTCCAAGACCCACAACTAAAGACCCAAGGGAGCCATAGAGCACGGATTCTCGTGCACATGGGACACTTTGAACATCAAGAAATCCCAACAGTTTAAAGGACTGTAAGACAAAATAAAAAACACACCATAAACTTAAAAAAAATCACTTTTGTAGACGTCTATGATGCCAACTCCATTGTAAACTGACTTGTTATTTTAGTAGTCAAATGTAACCACTTGAGGATTTACTGCTTGCAGGGTTATAGCTGAGGAAAAGTGAACACACACAGCTGTATCAGGAATGGTTTTGGAAGAATTAACTACTAATTTACGCAATATATTTTCTACAAACCTATTGATCCATCCTTTCTACTGAATGTTATAAATGACCACTTAATTTTTCCCCTTTACATTCCCCAAAAAAGGAAGGGAGAAAACCATAAGAATGCAGGATTTTTGTTACATGACAACACACAAATAAGGCTACAATCAAGTACACAGTTAGTCATGCCATGTAATTTTAGTATCTGAAAAGGCAAATGTGCTTTAAAAAAAGTGAAATTACTAGAGAATGAGCACGTAATAGACAATCTTGTACTGAACAGTGAATGGAAACCTTTATAAACCAGTAATTTTTAACCTAACCCTATGTACAGACAGGGGCTGGGCACAGATATTCTTCTATACACAACAAGTAATTTTTTTAATTAACCTACTGGTAAAAAGAATCAAACTATTACATATGCTGTCTTCTAACTATAAACTACCCTTTTATTTCACTCAAATGGCAATTACATGTGGCATTCACAAAGTCAACTGCGAACTGAAAAGTATGATTTTCCTTTCAGAGACGCCCACTCTGGCTTCTGCATGCAACTTCTATTTCCCACCCGACGAACATCCTTGCAAATGCAGGCTGGCACCACAAGCAGGAGTGAGAAACTGCATACAGAAAAGAAGCCTCAAGATGACACGGGACAGGGTTAAGGTGTCTGCACTGCAGTAACATCTTCACATCTTTCTGCTATCATTCTTTTGTCAGTGATGATGTGAGAATACATCTCCGTTCTGTTGTGTTTAAATCCTTGGAGCATTAACTGCCATGTGTGCAACTGTATCTAAATTCACCAAAGATGACCAGTTTATTTTTCGTGAAGGTATTTTACTTGGTCAAAGTGGATTTTAAAGATGGAGAACTACAATCAAACGTTCGTGGAGGACCCACATGTCTGAGACAAGTAATTACAAAACTGTGGTAACAGGGATGGCAAGCATCTGACAACAGCTGGATTTGTATGCAAGTATGGAAATCCCCATAGTTTGTTTTATCCATGTTCCCCATGGAAAACCGTCAGCTGTTTCTACATAATTAATCCCTGTGTACAGGCCAGACAGAAAGGATGTGGTCTGTGTTGGTCGAATCTCCTAAAGAGCAATTTCAAGTACTCTCACATGGAAGAAGTCACTGGATACGCTGCTGTCGTTGGCCAAGGCGGCATCCCTGCCACATCCGTGCAGCGTGATGCACCCTTTTAAAATAGCATTTCACCTGCTGCCGAACTGGAAATCATTTGTTATGTCTCTAAGCACTGTAACCACCGGTGTTAAGGAGGTTCGAGTGCCACGACGGCGTTTCGCCCACAGAGAGAAAGTCCTACGGGGCGGGGGGGGAGAAAGGGGGCGGCCTGGGGAAAAACAAACACACGCCACCCCCCCACACCACACCCACTCGGCCCTACAGAGCCTCGGTTCCGCCGTGAGTTTCCGTGTATTGTTCCCTAATTATTTCCTCTGGAGGTAAAACAGCGGGTTTGGGGGTCACGGCCGCTCTGCCACAACCTCCCGTGTCCGCAGCGCGGGGCTCCCGCGGGGACACGGGTGCCCGCGCAGCTCTTCCTCCTTCTCCTCCTCCTCGCCCCTCTCCGCCCCCCCTCTCCATTACCTTCCTCGGCTCAGAGTCGCCCTCGCCCGCCATGCCGCGGCAGCGCCTTCCCGCCCGCACCAGCGAGCCGGGGCCGCGCCCGCGTGGGGAGCGGCGCCGGGGAGCGGCCGCTCCGCCCGCCCCGTCTCTATGGCGCCCGCGGAAGGGGCGGGGGCGGCCGCGCCGGCGCCATTTTAGGTCCCGGCGCCGAGCGAGATTCCAGCGAAAATCCTTTGTTCGGCGAAATGGGTCACGGCGCGGGGGGCGCGCGCGCGGGCACGCGGGCGGGGGGGGCGGAGCGCCGGGATCCTCCCGCCCCTTCCCTCCCCTCCCCTCCCCTTCCCTTCCCTTCCCTTCCCTGCCCGCTCCCGGCGCGCGCCTCCGCGGGCCGCGGCGGGGCGGGGACTGTGGGCAGCGCATGGAGTCTGCGTCCCGATTCCTGGCTCCCGGCGGGCACCCGGCAGGGTTGCGGGGAATTCCGTGCGCGGGTGTACCATAAATGCTGGAAGAGAGGCCCTGCCGCAGCCCGGCCGAGCCGCCTTGTTAAAAGCCAAAAGAGAATCACGGGGCTGGGGGATGTAAACGCGCTCGGTGGGCAGCACCTACTGGGAGGAGGTGATGGGATCCCTCAGGGCGTGTAGGGAGCCTGGAGGATGTGGGGATGTACCCCTCACGGCCGATGGGGGAGAGCTGACTGTCCGTGACCGCGACCCAGAGTGCTGGAAAGGGACGAGGAAAAGATGGCTTGTGCGGCTGGCAGAAAAGTACCCCGGTGGCAGCGGGAAGCAGGAGGTGGAGGAAGAATTGTTTGTCTGGAAAATGGCCTCTTGTGAGGAGGCCATGTACGTCTACTTCAGGCAAAACCCCAGTGGGTTCGACAGGGGCAAAGCCTGCGTTAAATCACTTGGACATGGTGGAAATGACCTATTAGGTATGTAATTGTACCTGCAGTAAGGGTGTGAAGAGGTTATAAATAGTGCCAGGTGACTCAGGACAGAGTTACAGTTCTGCAAGATACTGAAAAAAATACGTTTTGCTGCAAGAAAACAAGTCTCTACCCGCTAAGGAGTGAATTACAGGGTAGGTTCAATTTAGGATCTTTTCCATCTTAGCAGTGAAGTATCACAAGAATGAGAGACGTGTAATACTGCTCTTTGATTTAAAAAATAGTGCGTCTTGACCTAGGAGGCATGAGATGTCTTCAGACCTTGTTGAATATTATTATGTATTGGGTTTTTTTTAATCCTATGCTAAATAAATCAGTCTTTTTCACACACTGAAATTTCTGGCAGTTTTAATTTTATCTCATTACTTACGTGTTTGCAGGATTTTGGAAACAATGTACTTTCACACGTAATGGATTTTCATGTATCACTAGCTGAAAAGTGCTACTGTACATTTGCATGAGCTATTTTAAATCCCAGATGGATTAGAAACAAATCTCAATCCTTCCCAACAGTCCCAATCTATCACTGTTTTGTCATCTTTGTAGATCTTGCAGGCAGTGCTCTGAATTCACGAAACACACTGATTCAATGCATTTACTATCCATTTTAAAAAGATCAGTAGGAGTCACTTGGAGTAGCTTGGCCTGTTTAAAGCTAATGTATATTATGGATGTGGTGCTGCAGACACAACGTTTGCTGTAATATGTGAAAAAGAAAAATTATTGGCATAATCTCTCATTGGAAAAGTCTGTAATGTCTGGTCTTATCTTGGTTTAAAAATTAAGCAGTGGCAAACGTTGAGGAATATAATAAGGAATCTCAGGAATGTGTTAATATGTCTGAGATTAACAAGACCACCACAGTGGTGAGAGACACTGCTTTTACTGCTGATGAGGTGTCCTGGCCTGCAGCAGTTCATATTTTGAAGGAAAAGAGTGGAAGGATCTTTTTTTCTTTGAAAGAGGAAATGGGTTTTAGCATGAAGGTGCTGGAGAGCAGAGAACACAAATAGAGCATCTTCTGACTGAGAGTCAAGAATAGGCTAGGAAGTGTGTGGTTTTGCCTGTATGTTTTGTATCCCTTTTCCAAACATCCAAGTCACACGAATTACACTAAAATACCCATTGCCAATAAACATATTCAATTTCCCCCCCTCTCTTTTTGGTACTCAGTCATTACTCTACTTTACTGCTGCACCTCACGGTTCTGCTTCATCTAATTCAGAAGCCGTTCTAAAATTAATAACTATTACCCTTTGTGGAGTTAGAAGTACACAGACGGCTGCTTCTCAGTCCTCGGGATCAGTGAAGGTGCTGGAGCCTCCTTAGCTTAAGAGCAGAGGGACCATTGACAGGTCTTTGGGATAGCCTGAAGTGTGCAGCCATCATTCCCTTGTGTCCCAGAGGGGCCTGAGTGTGTGCAGAGGGATGGTAGCTGACGTCCTCCGGCACATGAGGAAGGCAGGGCTCTTGAAGTGTGGGCCTCATACTTCTGCTGCTTTTCCCCTGATGTGCATTGGAAGCTCTGGAAGTAGGATGTTCTTTTTCACATCCTGGATTCAAATAAAAGTGCGGATAGATAGCTCTAGCTAGCTGAAATGCAGGTTTTAGTCTGTAAGTTGATAAAGCAGGATGAGGCTGTGTGGGCATGTGGTGCTGTTGCATTTATGAGGGTGATAGCACAGGGAATGTGAGAGCTGCTGGGTATGCTTGCTGCCTTGCCAGCATGACTTGCTGCAAGGGCTGGACCAACCTTGGTTTAAGGCATTGGTACACCTGGCCCAGCAAAGGCATATCCCAGAGTATCTTCCATTGTACCTGCCAGTGTGCCTGCAGGGAAGGTGGTTGAGCGAGAGCCCTGCATGCCTTCCTCCATTAACAGGGACCTGTGCTGTTTCTGGAAGCTGGGCATCTGGTATATGCAAGTTTGGAATTGTTGCCTTGGATTTCTGAACCTACAGGACAAAATAGATATATAAAAATATTCTTCTTTCTCCTCTTGGAGCTGGATACCCTTGACAGAACCTGCCTCAGTTCTATCAGTCATAACGTGCTGATTGTCACTTGCTCTCTGCAGTTTGAGCTTTTCCTATACTTATGCAGTTCTTATTTTTATTTGTATTGATCAATTAAGTGTAGCATCCTTAGCTGTATGTCTTGAAATTGACATTGGGAATGGTTTGGATTGGCTTTTAACAGCAGTTTCTGTTCTGTCACCCTTCACCTCTGTATTTAAAGGTCGGGCCAGGCAAAACTCTTGCCAGTCCAGCAGCAGGAAGAAGGCCACTGTGTACAGGACATGAAGCAGCAGACAGAAGGTTGTCATGTCACAGTACTGCAGACAGAAACCGACCTCACTGACTTCTCCAGTGCTTATTTCCTTCATCACACAGGGAACTTTATTGAGGCATCTGAACCTACATACTGGTAGGTATGTATCTTGTCACTTCTGAAACAATTTTGGGCTATACTCTCAGGGAGGAGGAAGCCATCACACAAACATGGACATTGCTACCTTTAGCACCTCTTGGTCATGTAAGTTATTATATAGCCTTGTGGAAAAGCGAGCACATGCAAAAGCTGTGACAGCCTGTCCTATTTATTAGGTTGTGGATGATTGATAACCACTTTAGGTTGATGGCCACCACAGACCTTTCAGATAACTAACCTTCATGGTGAATTCAGCATCTCCTGAGGGCTGCATGCTCTGCCTGGGTAGTTTGTGAAGGTCCTCCTGGTCCATCTGTAGCAGTTTTTAATGACCAGTGGAGGCTGTTCTGTCTGTTGGTGTCCGTAGATATCCTTTCAGCTCCACATGCAACTTAAACTGTTCTGAGGGGGACTGCTGACACCTGAGGTAAACCAGGCCTTCCTCTTCTCTGCTGGGAATCCTGTCTTCTCCTTTGTACCACCAGCCCTGCCTCCTGAGAAGCTGAAAGTTAACACTACACAAAAAGCTGCTTCCTGGCCATGGTGAGGGGAGAAACGGAGTGGGTGGTTGTGGTTTTTTTATTTTTTGAGAGCAAGTGCCAATTTAGATCGAGTGCCTCAAGAAATTGCTCTGTTGAAGATGTTGTTTATTAAGTAGCAGGCCATCAGTAGTTGAGGCATGCCTCAAGGCAAATTTTGGAGATGTCCAGTGGGACTTTTTATCTCTCTTCATAGTCACCCTGAAGCTACTTAAATAGCAGTCAAGAGTAGCTTGTGCTGGCCATGTACCATTTTGTAAGCCTTGAAAGCAAGGAGTACTTTGCAGCCCAGAAAGCCAACTGTGTCCTGGACTGTATCGAGCCACCTGGTTGAGTTCTAATCTACTCTGCTCTCTTGAGACCCCACTCTGGGATCCTCAGCGCAGGGAAGACATGGGCCTGTTGGAGGGAGCTCAAAGGAGGGCCATGAAGATGATCAGAGGGCTGGAGCACCTCTGCTGTCGAGACAGGCTGAGAGAGCTGGGGTTATTCAGCTGGGAGGAGAAAAGGCTCTGGGATATCTTATAGCACCTTCCAGTACCTAGAGGAAGCCTACAAGAGAGCTGGAGAGGAACTTTGTAGCAGGGTCTGTTGCAATAGGACAAAGGGCTTTAGACTGAATGAGGGTACATTTAGATTGGATATTAGGAAGAAATTCTTCACTATAAGCATGGTGAGGCTCTGAAACAGCTTGACCAGAGAACTGGTAAATGCCCTGTCCCTGGAAAAATTGAACATCAGATTGGATGGGGCTCTGAGCAACCTGATCTAATTGAAGATGACCCTGATTATTGGGGGGGTGGGGTGGATTAGGTGACCTTTATAATTCCTTCCATCCCAAGGTACTCTATGATTCTGTGTCTCTGCGATGGTTTTGTGGGGGTAAATGGTTATTATGATGGCTGCAGAGATACTGTGCAGTAGGTTGTGTAACCACCCTTGTGGGGACAGGGCAGGCACGAGGAGCGTGAGCAGGCTCCTGTTGCCAAGGCAGTCATCAACCACACTCATGCAATCACATAAAAAAAAATTATTTTTTTTTTTCCTCGAGCATTAATGTTAATGCAAATTACATTTCAGCTGCATGGCAGTTTTATTCCGGGTTGGCTTTGCTGATCATTTCTGTAGGTTGACTTTGCCTAACTTATTCCTAACTGCCTGTACAGATGATCTTTTCATCTGCAACACACAAGAGATTTTAATTCAATGTATTCTTCTGAAAGCTAAGGAAACAAGGGCAGGCTCCTAATAGCTTTATTTTTTTCTGCCTGATGTCTTAATCTGTTTATGTTACTTAGACACTTGATTCAAAAAGGAAGAAGAGTTTATATTATAAAAGGAGGCTTATATAAAACATGAAGGTTATAATTGAAATTGCACTGTTAGATATAGAGCTACGTTTAAAATTTCCTGACTTATTAGTATCAATTGGACTTAAGGATGATTCTGACTAAAAAAAGAACAGAGTTTTTCTTAGATAACCCTTTTTTTTCATATAATGTAAATTACTTTGTCTATAAGGCATGTCTTGAATGTATTAGTGGCAATTACTGATGGACACTTGAGTTTTCTTGTATGTCACTGTAATCCACTTCAAGTAGATGATGGCACTATTTATTTCTGCCATTTTTGGCCCTTTTTCTTAAGTTGCATCATTTTAAGATGTAGAACTTTTCTTTTGAAACTGAAAACATTAGGAGATCTATACTGTTTCTGAAACAAGTTTGAATGATTACCTAGTAGCCTTAAGGTCACAGAAACAGGAGTGGAAGGGACTCCCTTTTTGCCTCAGAGCTATTTTCCTTAGGCCTGTTTTGTTCATCTAACTTTCCTTTTAAACTTCCCCTTCCATTTCACATCTTAATTTTTCAAAATACAGTAACTGTCCTGAGGTTTCTATCATGAACAGTATGGACGGGGTTTCTTATGAACTTTGTGCCTCATGTTCCACGTCTGTCATGTGAATGTGTCAGGCTTAATCTTTATTAGCTCCCGAGGGAAAACCGGAGACTGGAGTTAACAAGATATTTGTATGATAATTGTTTCTTTTGGGACATGGTTTCTGAGAATTCATAACAAACTGGAGAGGATTGCACTACTAAGAAATTTATTTAGAAATAAGGTGTTTAAATAGCACAACAAAATTAGAAAATTCATGGCGAAAAAATATACTGAAGGTTATTAAATGCTCAGGCACCCTCTTAGACATAAGAATTCCCTTGGCACAAATCACTGGAGGCTGCAAGGGTATTCTGAGAAGGAATCATGGTGTGCTTCTCCTATCGTTACACTTTTCCCTATGTATCCAACACTAAATAAATTAACTTTTTTGCATTACTGGCTGTGGTTCTTGCATTTTTGCCAAGATTAGGCTAAAGCCCAGCAAAGGGAAAAGTCCTTCTTATTGCTTTAATGTACTATAGGCTGGACAGCTGGTTCATTGCTAATACAGACAGGGATATAATACAATGATATCTCTGAACTTAAGGGTAAGAGAGGAAAGAAATGGTGTGCCAGGAGCCATTTTGGTAATGTGTTTTGCATGCAATGTGCTGTCCAAGAAGATGTGTAATTAGCAGCAGAGAGGAAGAGAGGAGTCACATTCAAGGAGCAGAGCACGTCAAAGTAGACGCTCAGACCAGGCAACTGGAGAGGATGTTCAGAAGCCATGCCTTGTATCATCTTGAGAAAATTATGATGCATCAGGTAGATGTCATTATATCTTGTTTGGGGTTTTTTTTCCATTTTTTTCCTCTCTTTTTTTTTTTTTTTTCCTATTTGGCAGGTGGGGGAGGGTAAGGAGTTTGTGGATTTGATTTTAATTTTGTAATCAGGTTTAAAGTGGATTTCACCCCACATGGTCTGGCAACGCGACTGTCTGCTAGTACCCTGCCGGATGCAAGGTGATTTGTTGCACTGGAAGTTACAGTATAGTCCTGAGACAGCCACTGTCCAAAATACATGGAAATATTCCGAGAAGTCAGCCTATGTTGTTTCATCATGCTACAAAGGCTGGTTTCAGTCTGCTAGGGCAGGATCTCCTACACAAAATAGTGCACGTTTGGCAAGGGGTAAAGGAAAATAATTTGCTCATGGCTTCAGAAGGATCTCACAAGAAACAGGCAGTCTGCAAGGCTGAGATTTGAGAGTTCAAAGTCAAACACAATGTATTATTTCCAAACAGTTGTTCCAGATTTGCAGGCACCTCAGGTGTCCCGCTGTGGTGTCCAGATTCCCTGGCAAGAATTAAAGGATTTTTCTCATTCGTGACAGGAATGACTTCATGTCTTGCACACTGAGAGTGTTAGTTTAGCATATAAATATTTCTGTACCTGGTGTGGTTTCTGCTGCTTTTTGAGAAGAAGGAGAGATTAAAAATACCTCATGTCTCGTTGCTTAGTGGTTTTGGATCCAGTATTTTTTGCACTTTTCCTGATGCCTCACTGTGACCTGGCCTGAAGGCTGAGTCAGTCTGTTGGTGACTGGCTACCAAGGGCTACAACCTTCTGTCATATTTTGGTTTTGGAGGATCCTAGTTTCCTGCCTAAAGAATTGGGTGCTGGGCTAAAATCGCATCTATGCATTAACTCTACAGAGCACCTGATGCGAGACAGCCAAGCAGAATTTGGCAGGAGGGAGGGTACGTGTAGTGCACAAGCTGAGTTCTGAGGTTTTGGAAAATAGTAGGACAACTGGAGCTCTTGGGGTTGCTGGGGGAATTGTTCGTGAGTGGGCCAGGAGGATTTGTGTGCACTCTCTGCACTGAACTGTTGCCGTCCCCCTCCATGTGCCCAGTGGTGCTGCTTGAGAAACCTTCAGAAGACTCCCTAGTGCAGGGCCTGCTGCTGTTGTCCTCACCAGTGAGACAGCTAGCGGCTCCCTAAATTGAGTTTCAGACCTCCTGAGCATGGGCATCTATTCAGTGGCCACTGAACTGTGCAGAAGGGTTTCTTTCTTTATGCTGGTGCTTTTATTTTCCCATACACTTTCCCATGCTGGTAGCTCTATTTTCTCAGCATGTCTGACTTGTGCCTTCTCAGTACCTCTGCAGGAACAAGTGCAGAAGCTAAACACATGCTTAATTGCCTCACTTATAAACTGTTTAAAATTCTTAGGTAGCTGGATGTGATTGATGCCTGATAGATTGGTTTTTCTGGTCTGCTAAAGCTAAAGTAGCCTAACGTCAGTCAGAGGTGGCTGGTGAGCTGTTCTTCCAGTCCTAGGGAAGCCTGTGTTGGCAAGAATCTTCAACAACAAGCGTCACCAAATCGGGTGCTTTAGAGAGGGGACCTTTCTCAGTCGAGGAGAGGAAAGGAAAGGAGTGCTTATTGTGATGAATGGTCCTTCAGAGCGCTAACTTGGGCTTAAAGTAGTGTAATTCTGAATAATGGTGTCTGTTCCATCCAATTCCCTCTTCATTCTTGTGCTTGGGAGCAAGAAATACATTCCTGGAGTTTATGGTTTCCTTTTTACATTTCTTTGCTTCCCGTGTGGGTACTTCAAATTCGTGACACAAGATGATCATTGCGAGACAGCAGTTTTTCTTAAATCCTCCATCTTCTTCAAATGCTTGTAATGAGTACTAAAAGACTAGTGCTGTTCAGACTTCTGGGTTTTTGCTTTTTTTCCCCAACCTAACAACAGGCAAGCCTCAGATTTGGAACATGTTAGAGGTTTCTTCAAAATCTTATCTATAACTGGCATAATTATTTGCTCAGACAAGTCGTGGTGAAAGACCAATCCCTAAGAAGAACCTCGGGCATGACACTGTTATTTTTAAGTCAAATCATGGAATGGTCCCCAAACCTTCACCATTTCACTTATTAGGTTTTTCTTCAAAAAACACAGAGCTGCTGTGCACTCAGAGGAATAGAATTAAAGCACTTTGGTTTTATTTAAACCTCAGTAACCATCAGCTCCTTAGTTGCTAGGGGTGTGCCTGCTAAGAACAATGCTAAGAACCTGTCACTGCACTTTTAAGTGACTGTGATTTCAGATACAGAGCTAAGACAGGTAATTAACAAAATCATGCAGACTTCAGTTGAGAAAAGTGCTAATATTTTATGTGATCCACAAAAGTGCTGCTTTTTGACTTGATTTCACATTCCTAGACAATTTTAGTCTGCAGTTACAAAGAATGGCATATGGATTGATTGTAGCTAATTTGTAAAGGCCTGTCAGATAAAAGTTGTCCAGAATCTGCAAATTTATATAAGTGTTGGTTAAACCTAATTTTCTCATAATTAAACCAGCTCCGTTTCTGGAAAGTTTCTAGAATCCATTTAACACGCATTCCCTGATATTTTACCAAAACAATAACCTCCTAAAATCTTAAAGCTTTCTGATAACTTAAAATACATTGAGGTTGTTAGTATAACTTCTGTGAAAAAGCAGATTGGAGGGAAACTTGATAAAGGCACTACAAGCAACAGCCACAGATGGGAAATTTTATAAAGGTTAGAGAGGCTGGAGGTGGAGCTGATGGCTCCTGCCCCAGAAGGTTTGAAGGAACCTTCTCAGCAAGGAAGGTTCAATAGCTTTCTGTCTCTGCCCCATTTCAGCTCTCAGGAGAGATCACCTATCCTTGCACTGACAGCATCATGACCACACATGCCCCATGCTCCTTCCCCATAGGGTCCTGATAGGCCTTTTGTCCCACAAACTTTGCCTTCTGCAGGAAAAAGCACCAAGATATGCAGATATTTTCACCCTGGGAGAGTTCTTGATACCTATTCATCCAGGGTCAGGAGAGGCTATCAGCAACCCTTGGGCCATGTTCTCTGTCCCCTTCCAGGTCCCCCAAAGAATACAAATACTAGTAAAGTGTGCAGCTCTAGGCACAGATCAGATGCATAGTTACAGAAGTGGGTCAGTGAAAGTGCCCACCACAAAGACTTCCTGGTACCACTGTACCATTCCCACTCTATGCCAGCTGTGCCAAGCTCCTCTTACAGATCTTGTCATAGATCTTCCATGGTTAGAAGGTAACACACTTAGTCCAGGCTTAGTTGACAGTTCAGAAATACTCAGTTTTACCACCTTTTTCAAGGTCTCTTCCTGCTTCAGAAACTATTTTACAACCACATTTGAAATTCCCCAGGCTGCTTGCCAGCAGTTACTGACCAAGGAATTCCCATCAGGGGAAAAACTCTCCTAGTTCCTGGAAATGAAGTTCTCACATACATATTATCTTTAGACAAAGAAACGGAATGCATGAGTCGGTTTTAAAAAACCAAAATGCCTGTATTGTTTTATCACTCATCAGGATATACAGACTTCATCTGTGTCATTTCCTCAGCTTGCCTGCAGCACTTCTGGGTGTGTATCTGCCAGTCCTGGTTTCTTCTCACACTGCTGAGGATACTCAAGTGTCACTTCTATGGGACAGTGGCTGCACAACAGTATCAGTGAGCTGAAAGAGTGCCTTGGTGTTGGGAGAGAATATTGATTTGGGAGAGAGTTCAGTTATTTCTGTGTGACAAATTATATTTGTCAAATTCTCAGTCGAGAAGTTGCACAAGTTGCTCTTTACAAGGCTGATGTGTGATTTTCCCATACTTCCTGTGCTGCTATGGGAAACCAATTTTGAAACTCAGTCTACACTCCCATCACAACTGTGGGTCAGGCAAATTCTAGACTGCAAATTGGTTTGAAAGTTCATGTGTTTGGCTGAACAGAGGCAAGAAAGACCATCTGAACAATCTGTGAGGCAGACATGAGCATTCATTTCCTGATCTGAAGGTTTGACTGTCTCAGTGGCAGCTTGAGGCTTTGAGAAGCAAAGAGGGATGTATGGACTGGTATCCCAAAGCTGGCAGGGTTGATGTCTCTGCTGGGACAAGTCACCCAGTGTGCTGAGCTGAGCTGAGCATGTGCTGCTGTTCTCCACTTTTCTTCACATGGCTGTTCAAGGCTGCTTTGTTAGACTAGAAAAACAGTTAAGTCTGACAACACAACTCTCTAAACTACACTGTAAGACAGAATAAAAGGGATTCTGAAAACACATCTATCCTTTACTCAGTGGGTATTCAGGCAGATAAATACAAGGCTTTGCGCTGTGGTTTCCTTGAGTGCCTCTAGTTCTCAGTCCAGGCTCCCGCCTTGACTTCTCAACATCGTCTTATCTTCTGACCAAGCTTCCTCCTTACATCCTTGGTTTGATACAAAACCTGGCCTCTCAGGTTGCTGTCTAAAACCTTTATGGGACCTACGTGATCCACCTGATTCACTCTGTTCTGATCCTAACCATTTAGACAGCACCCTGGCACTATGCTTTTCCTAGAAGCTTGGAAGTGCTAAGCCATGGCTGGACCAGCTGGAGCACAAAGCCATCATGCACTTTGCAAGTTCATCAGGAAAACCACTGAGCTGTTCTGTCAGGGAATGTGCCCACGTGGGTGAGTAGTGTTCAGAGGAGGTGGAGTGCTTTGACACAAATTGCTCATCCAGGAAGAAAGGTAGTTGGATGGAAAGCTGATTCCCTCACATCACCCTCTACTCTCCCTGGCGAGGCTCCAAAGAACATCTGAGCCTCTACTGACATGAGCTGGAAGGAAGGTTGAGAAGGAAATCTGGGAAAGGCTACATGACGGTGAGCTCAATCCTACAAATCCTGTCCTTGCCAAACAAGTTCCTTTCATGTATGTGTGCTTTGTTACTCCCATAATAGATTTAAATCAGCTGGAAAAGTACCTTACGTACTAAGCCAAGAGGGACCCAATGCCAGTGGTGCAGGCAGCTGAACAGTGCCCTGACTGTCCAGCAGCTTGAGTCCAAAGAATGCAAGCACAGCTCCCCTCTCTACATTTAATCACTGTTTTATATATATAAAAAATATAATGTATTATTCTTTTGCTGTCCTCTTCTCTGGAGTGACCATTCATGCTGTTTTAAACACTTTATTGGTAGGCTAAGCTTACATGTAAAATCAAGTCTTTGGCAATATCATATGCCTCTTCGTGCTGTGTATCTTCAAATGCTGCAGTTACCAGAATTTGTGAGCTACACGCTTCTTCCATAAAATACCACACCTGTCTTCTGAGGGGCTTGTTCCTCCTTTGATGGACTACAGACCATCAAGTTCTGCTTCAAGATTAAGAGGCATCTGATCGCTTAAATAGTCGTACTGTGAAGTTCTTTATGTCTTGGGTTACATGGCTACAGTACTTGGTGTTAATACTCCCCAGGCCTGCGTAAGCAGCACTTTAACACTGCATAAGGAGATGGAACACTCCACAACAGAGTACCCATTGCTCCCAGGATTTCTAGTTTTACATCCTCAATTTTTGTAGAGCCTTGCTGAGGGACTCCATCCAGAAACTGAGTCATGGGTAACCTGGCATAGTCATTTTGAGTGGATTTCACAGCAGAGATGCAGAAAAATATTCACAGGAAGGTACCAGGATCATGTGGCTCTCTCCCTGCACCAAGAAACATGGGGACTTTTCAACAACAAACACTTGTTGGATAGTGCTATGATCAGCTGTCATTTGCAGGACTTAAACAAAAATATTTGATGTCTGATTTTGCTGCCTTCAGCATTTCTGTATTATTGACAACATTTTTGTAAAATGTTGGGTCAGCTCCTAGAAACATCAAAATTCATGCTTGAAATGAATTCCATCCTGTTGTCACCTGTTTCCAGATGTTTTCTGTGACTTGCCTGATTAGCATCCACTAGGAAGGCTGTTCTTCCTCTGAAGGGAGAAGGTGCAAATACTGCATTAAGTTGAGCAGGCACAGGGCTCACTCCACACCTCTGTTCTGCTGCCTTCCACAGGAGATGTGAGTTGCTGTTGTGGTGGAGAGCACAGCTTGTCTTCACGCCACCAGCCCTGAGCACCAACCTCAGGCCTCCACCACGCTGCCGAACTTGGGCTGTGGCGTTTCTCTTGTTAGGTTAAATGCCTCTTTATATTTTCATGGACTCCTTCCAAATGAAACTTGATTGACTAATTAATAATATGGAGGGAGAGTTAAGCTTTTTAAGTTCTGCCTGTTTTTCTGCCAATTATTCCATCAAAGACTGGCTCGCTTTGTTGCTACAGAGCTTCTCAGTGAGGCACGACCTTGGTTTATTCAATAATACATGTATTTCTGAGAGCAACTTACATAAGTTGGCCTATCCAAACTTTGTCTTCATTCAAGACTGATTTTTGACCATTCAGTGGCCATGTCAAATACGAAAGCGAACACTGAATAAAGTGTTCCCTGCTCGGTATCTGGGTTCGAGGGATGGGCAGCCTCACAGTGGCTGCACTTGTCTCTAAGCCACCATTGCTGCCTTTACTGTTTCCACTGAAGGTGCTGAAGCTCAGTCACCTTGCAGCCTCTTGGACATCTCACCACATGCTGCACTTGCTGGCTCGGCCTTTGCAGGGCAAACAATAGATTTCAGCCCTCAGAGGTGGCAACAGTGCTGTCTCTTGTGCTGGCGTGAGCTGTACCCAGCGGTAGGGAGCTAGTGGGATCTGGAAGTCTCTGCTTTTTCCTTCTCCACCTCCTCCTCCTCCTCACCTTCTCTGCTACCTGGGATTTGGGGCTGCACGTGCTCTCAGTGACACAGGGCAGAAGATGCATTCGCTGCCAGCAGGTTGTCTCGGGGGTACCTGCAACTCCTCTGAAACTGCTTTTACACCACGTGCAGGGCAATACAGAGGCAGGTCCCTCTGCTCTCATTACAGCAAAGCAAATCTGTGAGCTTTAAATCTTGGAGGTAATTTCCATAACATCATTTCTGCAGCAGCCGGTTTCCATGGAAACCGAGAAACGACTGGCAGCCTGTATAGTAAAGAAGACAGCTGACCTGATTGTCCTTCCCTGGCCTCTGTGGCCAGGCTTCCCTCCATTTGCACAGGCACATCCATTGCTCATTGCTGTGGGGTGTACGAGACCAGGCCCAAGTGCTTCAGCTTGTTGCCCCGAGTGCAGATGGGCTGCTGCCCATCCTCCTCATCCCACCTCATCCTGCCTCTCAGGGCAGCTTGTCCTGTAGCCAGGGGAGGAGGGCAGAGGGAAGAAAGGTCTGCAGAGGTCTTCACACCCCCTCCCACCCCTATATCATTCCCAGGCCCCAGCAGTGATGGAAGGACTTGTGATGGAAGCTCTGAACGTGTGTGTGCCTCTTCCTTTTTGGACATCTTACCCATTACTCTGTATTTTGTTGACCTATTTATTCCACTGCTTCTAGAATATTCCTGTAGGTTAACTTGTAAAGGATTTATATTTGTGAATACCAGCCCTATATGCATGGTGGCACCTGATTTACAAATATTCTTGGAATTCTTCCTTACTACTACCAGAAGTATCTGCTTTCTAGGTGAAGGTTCCATTACCTGTGGTGTTCCTTAAGGAGCCACAAACCCATGGCACACTCTTCAATAACTAACAGTTTTGTCTGTGTGTTTGGGCAGAGAGGGGGAACTTGTCTGACCCAGGCTCAGCTGCAGCTTTTGGTTGTTTGGTTTCTTCAAACACTGCAGGCCCCAGCATGGAGTATGTTACTTAAAAACATGTTTTAATTTTAAGAGCAGCTTTCGCCCTTGGCCTGGAAAGTCACTTAATGCTAGAACAGTTGTGTCGGGGCCGCTTCTGAGGTGAGTAGAGTGATGCCATGGGGAAGGGGGAGCCTTCCTTCAAGATGGAGCCCTTGAAATCCATTGCTGTGTCTCTGGGAGCTCATCCTGCTCATCTGAGTGGCTCAGTGCTGTGAGGCACTGGCCCGGGTCCCTTTGCAGGGCATGCTCTGTGTCCCCTGCAGCACCCCAATAGCAGCAACCTTGCAGACAGTGTGTCCTGTGGCTCTTATCCCAAAAGCAGGTTGCTGTTGCCATTGGGAAAAGAGCAGCAAGAGAGCTTATGTGGGCTTCTCAGATAGGAGGGCAAAGGTTTCCTTGTTCTGAGGTCATCACGGAAGAATGATGTCAATAGAACAGGCTTCCATAGTTGAAAAACTAAAAGAGCTGTTAATAGAGTACTTTGGCCTTGCCAGCTGCCAATGGATATGGAGTTTCTAATGTTTTTCACAGACCGGCTTCTCAAAGTGAAGGCAGCAGTCACCAGAAGTGCGTTTTTAGGGTGAGGGTTCTTTCCTATAAAACTGAAATGTTAAAATATATGAAGGGGATCAATTGAAAAGTAACCTACTTCAGCACTTTGATCCTGTTTGCAAACATGGCTTAAAGACAACTGTTGTCTTGGAAAGGGGCCAGAAAATCACCTCGGAGCCTGTGAGGAGGGAGCGAGCTTTTCCGGACTACTAGGGATGTGCTGCAAAGGCTGCCCCTGGTGGACATTAAACAAGAGCTCATTTTGGGGGGGGGGGAGGAAGGGGTTGCTGCTGCCTCAAGACATTCTCAGTAAACCTCCCCAGAAGATATGGAGGAAGTAGTATAGATTTGCTCGTGACACAGTCAGGGAAGTGTCATGACCAACAGGGTTACCTGAGTAACCCTAAAAAAAGCAGATCCTCAGAGACCATTTTGGAAGTTCAGTGTCTATAGAGGACAGAGTGAGGGAGAAAAAGATGACTGTCAGGAGCTAATTGCTCTGGATGTACTATACATATAGGTCATGTTACAGGCCAGGACTGGGAAGATGCATAGTCTGTCTCTGAATGGATTCCTGTTTGTACTTAGTTGAATTATGCAGTATTTAGTTTATTATCAATACCTAATGACATGCCAGTATAAAAGCCTTTTTTTCCCCCCCTCATTTGAAGATAATCTTAGCAATATCATCACCACTGATTACATTTTTGAAGCTCAATGCAACCTGGAGAGATGCTAAAGGCTGCTTTTCTCTCTGAAGGATGCATTGCAGGTTACCACAGCATTCTTCTCCATACTCTCCAAAAGCATGGGGCGAGTGTGGCATCCCTGTGTGCGTCTTGGTGTGGCATTTCACTGGGAGAGCGTTTGCGCAGTGAATCGTGGAGCAGAGGGAGAGCTTTAGGCCACAGAGCCTGTCCTTCCTTTAAACCTTTTAAAATGCACAGAAGCCACAGGGCTCCTAGAAGGGCAAAGCAGTTTATAGAAAGCAACTGAAGAGATGAGAGCATCCTCAAAAGCTGGGCACTCCCTGAGGTGTTCCGCTGCCCTCGGCTCCAAAGTGCTGGAGGGAAGAGCCAGCCCAAGCAGCCTCCACTCAGCCAGTCACCTTTACTATCATCATTTCTTGTTCAGTGCTTTTACTAAACTTTCCAAGTCCCTCTGACACAAAAAACAATTGATCTTTACAGTTGTATTTGAGCCAGCTACACTGCCATTGCTAGTCCTCACTACTCTGTTCATGTTTGCTTAATGGCATGTGAATTAATTTGTTGGAAGCTGACACTTTGCTGCAGGATTAGTTAGAGACTAACACAGCACTGGTGTAGGGAATTTAAGATGCAGAGCATCCTTCTGAGGTAAAGAAAAAAAGGAGGCAAATTCCAATTCTTTTGGAAATCTTCACTTTTAGGATGCTAGGACTGAGTAATAAACTCAGTTCCAGCTATTTAAAGGCTCAGCAACTCCTTCCAGGCAAAAAACAAGTAGCTATTGTGTGCTGGCACTGGGAGGGCTGAGGGAAGGCAGCGTTTCCCACAGGCAAATTAGGAGTGGGAAAACCAGAACAAAACCCACAAACCTCCAAAGCCTGAGTAGGGAACACAAGACATTTTCTGTTCAACATGATTTGTGTTGTCATTAGGTGGGCTTAATGGGGCTTTATTCTTATGCTGTGAGGAAAGCCCTGGCTCTGCTGGAGCTAACAGTATTGACTGCTCAGACCTGGGAAACACGAGGGAGGGAGCTGAAACCGCATTCACCATGTCACTCAGGCACTCACTGCAAACAGAGGGTCCCTTCCGCCCCCACCTCTTCCTGGTGCAGGAGTCTGGACGTGTTTTACTGGAGCCTGATAAAAACCGGTCTGTGCTGTTTGGCCGGGGGTAGCCTGATTCCCGTCACTTACCTCACTGCAAAGGAGGGCCCGTATGGACCACCAGCCACGCTGGGACCACACGGGAACTCCACAAAAGGTGCATTTTAGCCCCACCCTGCTACTGCCCCAGTCACCCGGGGCAGAAGACGAGGCTGGCATCATGGATGCATGAAAGGCTTTTCTCATCTGAGATGGCTTGAACCCCTTCCTACTCCTCCACTCAAGCTATGGTGAGCCCCAGCAGGAACAGTTCAGCAACACAGCCCTGGCTTCTTGAAGTCCAGTATTTGGGTGCCTTGTTTCAGGCTGTGTAAGAGTGAAAGGGGATAAAGAGTTAAGAACGGCTCCCTAAAAGGAAATCATGAGTTGAAACCCATGAACAGCCCCTGCAGGGCATGCAGGAAGCCCCTCTCCTCCACCTCCTCCACCTTTGCTTCGTTCAGGAGGCTCCTTTCACATAACCACACAGGCTAGAAGCAGCACACCAGGTAACCAGCAAGTGCAGCAGACTTTCTGCTTTCAGGATTCCAGGATCAACACACCACTTTGGAAAGACTATGAGGACTGCTGGCCACTCATCTTCCACCTGCAAAAGGAGCAGCGTTACCTTGGTACTGCTTGTCCCAGGATGCTGCTCAGAGATGGACAGGGATGGAGAGCCACTCTGGTGTGAGCCATGTACCTTTCTAAGGAGACATGGAGATAGATGCGGCCCTCTGTCATCCCCAAGGCAAGCTAAAAACCACACCGGTGCAAGATCTAGCATTTCTTAATGGCCAGATCCTATTTTTAGTTTGCTGCATGCTAATTTTAGTGGACCAGATTATGGGAAGAATAAAGGATTCCTACTTTAGCCCAACAGGAATGGGAGTTGCTAGTGGAGCACAGCTGCTTTTCCAAAGAACTGCCATGGCCTCCCTGACGAGTTGTTACATTGACAAGTTTGAAGGGTTTTTTTGTGATCTTATTTAGATCAAACCACAGGGTATCAGAGCAAGTCAGGAACTGTCCACTAGCCACTTTCATTGCACTTTATGAAGTACTGTGGAAGAATATATTTATTTTGGGGGTGTGATAAAACTAAGGTGCCTTTAGCCACAGAAAACACCTTTGCCTGTTGAGAAGCTGTTCCAGTGACAAATTTGTCATGTACTTCTGCACGCCTGAAGAAACTTTTAGAAAATAAAATTTTCATTTGAAACATTTCTATTTTCTTCAAGAGCAGCTCAGTTAAGTTCAGCCACTCACCAATTAACAAATGGTTAGTTATGTTATGCAGTATGTATTTTTGCATATTGATCACCTTCCTAGAAGTGATAGGCACTCTTGGCCATTGGATGCCAGAAATAAGTTTACCTGGAAGTCACATTAGTTTTATTTGATGAACTCTTGTCAACCTTCCTTTCAATAGGTTACAAGTTCCTCAAACTGCCTTGCATCTTTGTTAGTTATTAGGGTCCCTTTTAGCAGTCAGAAAAGGGAACACACCTGTGTCTGGGCAGCTTCTCCAACAGGTCATGCTCTAGCCAATCTTCATTATCCACGCACACAGCAATGCCAGGAGCAGCACACAAACCATAGCAAAACATGTCCCTTTCCCAGCGTTGTGGGTTTCTGTGGCTGGGTTTTGGTAGAGGGGGGAGGAGGATACAGGGATGGCTTCTGTTAGAAGCTGCTAGAAGCTTCCCCTGTCCCCTGGAGCCAATGCCAGCTGGCTCCAGCATGAACTTCCTGCCGCTGGCCAATTAGGAGTAATAGTAACACCTCTGTGATAACGTATTTAAGAACAGAAGGTTGTTGTGTAGAAAGAATTCCGGTCAGGGAAGAGCAGGGTGAGAACATGGGAACAACAATGCAGACACCAAGGTCAGTGCAGAAGGAGGGGCAGGAGATGCTCCAGGTGCCAGAGCTGAGGCCCTGCAGCCTGTGGTGCAGACCATGGTGGGGCAGCTGTGCCCCTGAAGCCTATGGAGGGACATCGGGGTGCAGAGACCCCCCTGCAGCCCATGGGGGAGCCCATGCTGGAGCAGGTGGATGCATGGAAGCTGTGACCCCATGGGAGGCACAAGATGGAGCAGGGTCCTGCTGGAGATCTGCAGCCCATGGAGGGGAAACCCACACTGGAGAAGGTTTTTCCCAGGTAGGACTTGTGGCCCCTGTGGGGGATCCACATTGATACAGCTCATCTGCAACTCAGAGGACAGCAGATTGGGAAGAACTGCTGCCCAAGGGATGGACTCATGGTGAAGAGGTCCATCAAGGACTGTGTCCCATGGGAGGGACCCCATGGGAGCAGGGGAAGGACTCCTCTCCCTGAGCAGCAACAGAAACAACAACCGACTGTTACCCCCACTCCCTGTGCCCCTGCACTGCTGGGGGGGGAGGAGGGAGAACATGGAAGGAGGGGTGGGGGGAAGGTGTTTTTAAGACTGTTTTGTTTCTTACTCTTTGGTTCTTGTCCTGTTAGTAATAAATATAAGTACTGTCCCCACTTTGAGTCTGTTTTGCCCAGGAAGGTAATCAGTAAGTGACCTCTCCCAGCTATCTCTACTCACGAATCCTTAGTTTGTTTTTTTTTTCTCCCTCCTGTGTCCAGTTGCAGCAGGAGAGGGAGAGTGCAGCTTTAGTGGGTACCTGGTATCCAGCCAGGGTCAACCCACTACACTGAGCTGTGGGGCAAGAGAGGGAGGAGCAGCACCAGCTCAGAGAGTGCTCCCATTTATCAGTGCCCTCAATGTGCAGAGAAGTCTCTCTCCTGTTGGAACACGTGTACCCACCTGCCCTTTGCAAATTCCAACGCCAACTCCTCTGGGTGCTGGCAAACACTGTGCCAGAGCTTGGGAGAGTCTGGGGAACAGGCTGTGCCAGTTAGTTCACCATGCAGCTGCTCCACAGCACCTCACAGCCAGTGTGGCTGCAAGGAGCAGGCCAGCTCTGCTGCCCAGAGCAACCACAGCTTTAAACAGAGGTGCCACCACCCCACAGGTTCTGTCAGGCTGCAATCCAACTGTTATGTGGCCCTGCCCAGGAAATAGCTTGGCAACTTTTTAATTCAACAGCCAGGGGAGTTCCTCTGGTCTGGGTCAGCACTGGACTGTGCCACCAGTGGTGCTGCCGCTGCAGGAGCAGGCACAGCACAGGCAGCCAGAGTGAGGCTGGTGTTGCCATTGGTACTTCTGCTCTGCTCAGAGGAACTGGCAGGGCACAGACATCACAGCCCCCACATGCCTCGTGGCTGCTCAGTCTGCTGCAAATCCAGGCCACAGAGCCAGGCTTTAAAACCAAGCTGTAGGATGTGGCACACAGTACCTGTGATGTGTCCCAAGCACAGCGCGGTGTTTGGATACCCCAACAGATGTAGTTAGTACACCAAATCTAAACACATTTTGAATTTAGTCTGATGGAAACTAGTGGCTTTTAATAACGCCTCAGACAAACCAAACTATACCACCTGATGCTCACGTCAGCATAACAGCCTACACCCTAACTATAGGAAACCCTTGGATAGTTTTACTGTCCTCAAAACCGTATTTCTAAACCAAAGATCAGCCTGGGTGGCACTGCCAAAACAAGCTGTAGGTACAACGGGAGTAACACACAGAGCCAACTGTCTTTTTTTTTTTTTTATAAAAGTATTTTTAATAAACTGATGGATTTAAGTTTAAGATGCTAGACAAATTGTTGCCATGTACAGGTAACAAAAGTCAAAATTCTTCGAATTTTATACAAATACTATGTAGTACAGTAAACTTGAATACAAGTTTACAAAAAATGCATCAGTGAATATTCAGCTTGTAAGCAACTTCCAACAGTGAAAATTATCATCTATCAATAGTGATCAGAATTGCATTGTCAATTTTAGAAGTAATGCAACTATCCTTTTTTTACCAAGCCACTCTGGAGTTATTGGTGCACACTGACAGTACATTGGATTTTTTTGGCTTGCTGAACAGAAAATGGCATTTAAATAAAATGACCGAGTTAAACAATGTCCTAAGTATCAAAAGTACTATCTCACAGAAGACTAAACAAGAATGAGAAAGTAAACAGAGCAGAACCCTGAAGTGGTGATTTTTCTACCCGTTTTGATGGAAAAGATTCCACAGGTGTCCAGCTTTCTCACAGCATTTTGGAGTGTTCTAGTCCTAGCACAGTGTGGTCATTAGTAGACTAAAGTAATCCCTGCTTGGCAGTAATGCTGGTGAAAGGTAACTTGCTCTATTGCTAACAAATCGGAGTAACCACTGGCAGGGCAACTTTTCGGAGGCATCCAGCGGAAGCTGAGCTGACAGCACACGATTGGAGTTTACAGTACCACTCGCTTCGATACAATACCCAACAGCCTTCAGGGTTCAGGTGTCAGTTTCCTCACAGGATTTACAAATGGATGGTTTTGAAACAAACACAAAAATCATTATGGAGCATGAGACAGTATTTTCACCTGTACAGCTACCAATAAAATGAATGTTTTTGTTACAAACTTTCCAGTCTGCTTTATAAAAAATAGTCTTAGTTTTACTTCTAAATAAAAACTGTGCTGTGATCTGTCACGTTCTTGCATTGTACATGCTGTAATTGTGTGTGTTAATGAAGGTGTAGAGATTTGTGACCTAGCGCTCTGGATGTATCAGAAGCCTAAAAAGCTGATTTTGGTACATAAAAGGTAGCAATGAAAATTCATTCTATTTATTTTTCCTAAAGCTTAGGAAAAGCTACAGTACATTGCTAGATCAGTGGCCTCAACCCTGAGCTGAAATAAAGGACCTGCCTTGGCCAAGAGACTTAGTCACATTACTACCACAGCTGCACAGCAGAGACAAAATAACCTGTCTGCAGCCTGTTGTCTTCGCTGTGAGTAGTGCGAGATTCAGTTCTGTAATGCTTGAGAGTTGACTGGAGACCACCATATTCATTTTCACTACAGAGGAAAAAAGGAAAGGAGAACTCAAATTCTCAGAGATTCAAGTGAAAAGCACTCAACAGGGAGGGTCAGTATGTCCAGCTTCTGGAGATCAGAGAACGAAGTCAGTGGCAGACTCATCAGTCTTAAGCATTTTCCCATGTAGTAGAAGAGATATTAAAATACGTACCAAAATACAGTTAAGGAGACTCTCTACTATTACCTCACTCTTTCCACAAAGAGTCTCACATGATTTTTCCCCCTCCAGAACTGAGCATCTCTCTGTACCTACATGGCATCACAGAAGATAAGTGAAAACAAAGCCTGTCTGACAAAGGATTCAACTCAGCTGCCAGCAGAGAAACTTGCACTTGTTTCTAGCACGAGTCACAGTTAGCCATCAGAAGAATTCTTACTAGGATACAGCCTATTGCACCTTCCTGTAGGATTCAATGGCACCAACTACACATGGCTGGGAGCATTCATAACATGAAGCATTCCTGCCTCCCTAGAGGACTTTTTTTTTTTTCCTTTTAAACAGCAGAAACTGTAGAGTCAGTATTTCACTTAGTGGAAAAACTAAACCCAGCAACAGACTGAAAGTAAAGTTGTAAGAATCATTTATATTTCTAGTAATGCACACTTCTTTGTGAGCTGATCAGTTTAGGGATGGTATGTTTTTTCTTTAAGGCAGCAACTCCTACAAAATACACAAGCTCACCTCCCTCATGTTTGTGCTACTGTAGCCTTATATGCACAATAGAACCTCACTAATTTACACTAATGATTGGAAGATCCATTAATTCTCTTGGTAAGTGAACAAGAATAAGGCATTCCATTATATATTCTGATCACTAATTATAATTTAGCTCTAATTATACTCTACCAGCAAACATACTTCTGTGTTTTAGAAAATAATATCTCTTACCTTCAGATATAATTGTGTGTGCAGATTAGTGGGTTCTGCTGTGTAAATACGCAGGTGCATAAGCAGTTTTCAGGTTTTTCTTCATTACATCTGACAAAAAAGTTAATGCCACAGATAGAGACGGTGGGAAAATAAATTGGGATTTCTCTATCATTTGTGCGGACGTGCACAACTGGGCAGCACTTCATAGCTCAGAAATAAAAAATAAAAAGGACATGAAAGTTTACAAACTCAAAATGAAGCAAAATCAGCAGCAGGAAGCAAGGCCATTCTCCAAACCTAAATGGCTTGTTTTACACGATTCCAAACTATATGAAACAAACTAAAAAGAAATACAAGTACTAACTTGTAGATACAAGTTTGAAATCAAGTAAAGCAAACAGCAAAAAACGTTTCATGCTTCTAACAGATGATTTTCGCACGTCTAAATCCTGATTGAAGTAAACTGTAAATAAAGATGGGAGATCAGATGTAAACTACATGGCTGAGTTAAAAAAGAAGAGAAGGATCGATGTGCATTGTAATGAGATAGAAATTTCCCTTCATATGTGCAAAAATCCACAGTTTCATTAATGTAGAGGTCATACTTCTAGGAACAGATCTCAGACGGAACCAGTCTCCCTACATCCTGGAATCTACCTGCTTACATCAGCCACTTTAAGTGCACAATACCCTGTTCACATATATAGTATTCAGCAGTTTCTGGCATTTCTCTATTTAACGTTCACCTGCCTTAAATCTTGAAAACAAAGGGGAGAGTTCATCCAGGATATCATACCACTGTTTTGAGTTACACCAACAGTTAAATCAAACTCAAATTCTTTCTTCTTCCATGGTGGCAGGAGTCCTTACAGGACTTGTAAACAGCAGTACACAATACTGTAAACAAATAATTTAAGTTCTGCTTTATACAAGATGTTAAGTTAATCCAGGTCTACCAAACATCAGGTGAAAATGAAAAGGGTGGCTTCACACAAAATCCTTCCCTTTTCTCCCAGCAATTCCTCTCACTACATAAATAATCCTGAGCTGAAACATGGGTTGCTGAGAGCTTTTTTTTTTTTTTTTGCATATAAAAACAACGTTCTAGAGTCAGCTCTCATGTTCTGTCAGGAAGTCAGTTGCTTGCTGGAGAGATTAAACTGAAGTATTTCAAAACCACTTTTTACTTTGGAGGAGGACTTATAATTTGGTGTGGCGTCCAGTTCTAGACCCAGATGCCGAGCTTGCCAAGGAAGCTGATGCTGCTGCATCCTCAGCTTCCTCCAGCTCATCGTGTAGCTCCTGGCTAACACTGGACTGGAGAGCTGCAGGAGTTAGCCACTCCTTCGGCAGGCAGCTCTGGAGAAAGGGTATACAAGAGCTGAAGTAGGCAAGGCGATTCACCCATCGTGGAATCTCTTTTCCACAGAGAATCTACAGGGGAAGGAAAAAGAAAGGATTAATTTGTTTTCTGGATTCAGCAGTAACAAAACTGCAGTGTGGTAAATAAAAATCAAAACCTGCAACAGCCTTACAGTTGATGTATCACAAATGCCACTCAAGAAGCACCCAATTTAGCTGCACTAAGACAAGTGTTCTCCATCAGTAAAAGCAGCATCCCAAGTCCCACAAGGAGACTCATTTTTCACTGTGAAATTTGGACACATGGTTCTGTGCTTTTCTTAGAAGTCCTGGAAAGCCTAACCACCTCACTCTCCTTGAATAACTTCTACGAAAGGCACAGAAATTAGTTAAGGTATGTTTTCTATTCACTGCTAATTCCTCAGAAACAGAAATTGCCGGAGAAGCTTCATTGTTACAAAAAAGCACCCTGAAATCAAATGGCCAAAAATACGATAGCTGTGTGTAGTTACACCTACAGCTGATTTACTGTGATGGCCTCTCACAACTTTCATGATATATCACTATCTTACAAAACAAGCACACACACTTAGGTTCACTGGAACAAAAGAAGATATACACTGAACAGCTGGCTTCAACTCCTCAAAAATATATAAAGTAGCATTAAATACTTATTTTTACTGCACATCGGTCATTAAATAATTCCATTGTCACTATTCAAGAAGTGAGCCGTTTTACTTAATTGCCTCCATGTTCACTTCTGGTATTATTTACTCCAGTGCAAATCTGGAGAATGGGAGCATTACTCTGCTCTAACTCAGCAGCATTTACCTTGTAATTATACTCATTTTTATAGTCAATTTGAACACTAAAGAGAACACTAAATAGGACAAACACTGAAATAAGAGATAATATGACCATGCAGCTGAAGAGTATAGCAAAACCCTGTCCATATAGGCCAGATTTCACACCAACTGCAGCTTTGTTAGTGTCTCACCCTACTTACTTTTACTTGTACCAGCACTGCACACAAATCATCATCTCAATAAAATTTTCCAGTACCACTGGAAGATCAGTCTACACAAAACACAGGCTATACAGTAAGAGTACATTAACTATTTTGGGAAAAAAAACCCCAATTAAAATCTATGACAGTTCACCACAGAAAAAACAGCCATTCTTGTTTGGGGGTGTTTCAGTGGAACATCATAAATTCTGGCAAGCACAGATAGCCATCTATCAATAAAAAAAATCAAAATTTCCATTCACGTCTTTGTCCTGGGATACTTGTTCCTGACCCCTCCCCTCGTGTTGATACACATGCGAATGATCAGGCATTCAGTCATATTGGCAAACTGTGATCACGTTGCCAAGGGAGAAAAGCAAAGCCCGTTTGACTCCTCAATCAGACACTTTGCATGACTCAAATATCTACATGACCGGGACACAGATGCTGGCAGAGTAATAACGTGATAAAAGCCTTTCAAACAGAAGATTAACACTGTCTGTGTAACTTCAATGGATCTGTTACTCTTTAACAGCAGGTCCTAACTTTAAAAATTATTTTCAGTGTGATGTTTCTGTGGGGAAATACTGATAAAAATACTGTGGTTCTATCTTCGATAGCAATCTCTGAAGCAACTGAAATGATTCTGAAATCCTGTTAATTCATTTACTAGGTTTCTCATTTAGGAATGCACCCTTGCTTGAACACAAGCTATGTATGAGAACAATATTTATCATTTTTGGCAGCATAATCTTGTGCTCTGAACATAAGCACAAATACAATCTGAAAAATGATGACATTTGCCCAAAGTACCAGAGATAAGAAGTTGGAAATTAGACCAAACATTCCAAAGGACAGGAAGATGACACTCTGTAGCCACTTGGGAAGCACCTTTCTATAGATCTTCATGTTTGTTTACCTCGGATAAAGCTGAAGAAAAGTGATTGCAGTTTTTGTGCATTAGATGATAAGCATTGCCTTTGAATTCTTTTCCAAGCTCTTCTACTATTTTTTCTATGTCATCTTCCATAAAGTCAGTGCTGCCTAGAACCACAGCCTCTCTAGAAGAGAAACAGAGTAAATGATCAGGCTTCCATGATATAGGTGGATTACTGTTCATACATTGATCAAAAGTCACCCCATTGTAGATGGTGAGATCTTTCGGTCCTCCTAGAACAACATAAACTCTTTCTATTCCATTTTATGGCACCACTTTCATCTTTATCATGAGATATTATGTTTTCTTGCCTATTATCTACCTTGAAAAAGTTACTGCATTTTATACGCTGCATGAATAATAAAAGTTAGCCACAAGTCCACAAAATTTGTATGCATTTAAGAAATTTAATGGTTTGCTAAAAAAATGTTCTTTGCTGCAGACGCTTCACTGTCTCATCACTTCTGTCCATCTTTCAATTCTAAGTAAACACATGAATTTCTCCGAAAGTCAGAAATCCTTGTACAACTCCTCCGTCCTCAAAAAGAAATGCAACAAATTGTCTTTTTCACATGCCTTCTCGAAAAAACAAGAAAATAGGTAACTGTCTTACTTAAATTTAAATGTTTCTCCTAGCTCAGAAGCATTTCCCGGTGAAATTTCAAATATTCCAGAAAAAGGGTATGGATGACCACCGTAGGCAAATTCTAAAAGAGAAAGTTCAGATTTAACAAAACCAGCATATGATGACAGCAAAGAACAGCAGGGCTCACTGGCCAAAGACAACTTCATGTGGATCTAAAGCTAGGAACCAGGCATCTTATTTACATGGGTAACAAATGAAAGGAGCTGGAAATGAGTAGTTTTGTTCGGTTACTAGTCAGCCTGAGTAAAAACTGACAGGAAATTTCCTACATCAGTGTATGGATTTAACTTGACTCACTTTACAGTAAGTATATAATTTTCGTTGTATAAGTGAGGATTTACAAGTTAAATTGTAAATCCTACCAATGTTCTTTATACATGCTTGTCTTTAAAAGCCCACTTTGATATGTCTAAATTGGGGATTCAAAGTACAGCATCCTCAAAGGTCTGATGGCACTTCTGTTCAGAGTGCACTACAGCTCTAAGTGTGGCAGCAAGTAGTGGCCTAAGAGGTTTTTAAATGTCTTGATTTGCAAAGGTCCATGAACTGTCACGAGTTCTTTTACTGTAACAAGAAAGTAAACCAGTGCACGCATCTGAAGTCTGCACGTGGCATCTGCTGGGACAAGCACTCACAGTACATGACAATATCATGGTATGCTGTAGCTTCCATCTGTGACTGTCAGATAACACAGCACACCATGCCCAGACTGCAATAAAAGGCTTTAAGTATGACTTCACGCTTCCTTTCCTCAAAACTCGTAACACATCATGCAAGTCTAGCACTCAGTTTTGTGGATAATCTTTTTTACAACACGTTAATGAATAAAAAGTCTGAGGTACTTTGAAAAATGCAAGTCATTGTTCCAGCAGGGGCATGACCTGCTATGAGAAAGCTGTTATAATCCCACAGGAAGGGAGGCACATATATTTGGCACAGCTCAAAAACTGGGTTTCAGTGCACAGCACTATTAAGAGTCAGGTATTTCTGGTTCGGATTAAAACAAATTTAAAAAAAAAGTTTTTACGATAATCATGGTATTGTCAATTTGTTGCTCTGGTAACACTTGCAAACCCAGTTACAATGTGACCATTATAGTAGCTGAAACATAGTTTAGGATAATTTTGAGCAGCCTGGTCTTTCCAGTGCACGCCATGCCTTTTGCTGCTTCCCCTCACCTCCCAACACATTCCAAAAAAAGAACTGAAGTAGATTTTTCTTCTTTAAACGAACTACTTTCAGCAACACCATCACCTTCCGAGCATCATTATACTGCTG